CTCCCTCAGATGGCAGCCCAGGCAGGCCCCCAAGTTGGCTTTGAAGCCAGACACTCCTGGGTTCAAATCCAAGTTCTGCTCCGTATTAGCCGATCCCGTTTCCTCATTTGTGCCGTGGAGGCAATCCCACCTCCGTGGGGAGAACCGAAATGATTGGATAGGCACCGCTTCCCTGAACGTGAGGGCAGAGGTCTCTCCTCGGAGGGCAGCCATAGATTTCATTTCTATTTTCTAACTAGATAAGAATTTACAGTTTCTACAAGACTTTGGAATAAATTGACCAGTGACTTTCATTTTCTGTGTAACTGTTTTTTTGAATTCTTCCTATGGCTCTTTCTGTAGGCAGCTTGCTGCCGAGCTCCTCCACCATCCAGCCCTTCTTACCTCCCTGCCCCTACCCCACCCCTCCAACCCCACTCTTGTACCCACTGTGCAGGGGGCACTGGAGCTCTGTGATGATGCCAGAGGCTCTTTGCACGGACTTGGCCTGCCCAGGGCTCCATGCATGGCGTTGCCATTGGTGTGGGTGGCACAGTTCAAGGAAGGAGGCAGGGGTGGGTGGGCAGCTTGGTGAGATGTGGCCAGCCCAGGAGGGGAGAGGCTGTTGGTGAGAGCCCAGAGGGCAGACGCTGGGCCTCCCTGGCAGCCTGAGGGTAAGGCCCGGCCAGCAGCGCCTGCCCTCTGGCCCCTGGAAGCCGCCTCCAGGCCTCTGCTCAGCGGAACTGGGAGACATGCCTTAAGCTTCCTGAGGAGGGTGCCCAACCAGGCAGCTGTAAACAGCTCTAGGGGTCATCTATGGCACCCCCATGGGTGCTTCCACTCCTCATTGAGAAATCCTGCAGGGCCCAGCTAGAGCTGGGGGCTGGGGTCAGAGGGCAGGGGCGGCAAGGGCCTGGAATTGCTCCTGGGGCAGCATATTTTTCTCCTCTGAAAACTTATCTTAGCAAGGAGACCACGGAACAATCGCACTCTTTTCCGGGCCTCTGTCGTCCCCAGACGGCCAGCCCATCCCCTCAGTGGGGGCTCCGAGGGGGCCGGGAAGTCGAAATTTGTAAAATGTCTGTAGGAGGGGAAGAAAGGCGCTTTGTATGGGGCCGGGGCCCTGGCCATTGGTCAGCTCCAGGGCCCCCAGCCGCTCCCAGAATGCTCCCCTCCCCAGGGAAGGGCGTGCTTGCCGGCCCAAGGCCAGCCCAGGGTCCCTGCAGCCCCTCTGCAGCCCCTGCACCCGCGGAATCCAGGCCTCGGGGACCTGGGGCCCTGGGGCCGCCCAGCCTCCGAGGGCACGGGCCTGGCAGGGAGGCTCCCCTAGGCCTCAGCATGTTTCTCTACTGGAAGAAGCGGGGCGCCTATGAGCTGGAGGCCCTGCCCAGTGCCCTGGCCGACCTGGAGCTGGGGGCCGTGGAGCGTTTCTCCTGGAGCTCCACCCTGGACATCATCGAGGACCTTGAGGGTAGGTGTGGGCCCACCTTCCCGGGAGGGCTGTCTGGAGGCTGCGACACCCCGTCTACCTGGTCGGCTCCCTTTGGCCAGAGCCTGTGGCCGGATCACCACGCACATGGTACTGTCAGTCACTCATTCAGCGGCAGTGTGGGGCCCGAGCTGCTCCTGAGGGCGCTTCTGGTGGGGGAGGGGCGGAGCACCAGGACCCTGGGGGCCTCGGGGGCAGCAAGGCCGACTGGTAGGAGGTCAGCGAGGGCTGGGGGTAGCAGTGGCCGGTCCTGGGCCTTAGGCTGGGCTCCGCCTCTATCCTCTGCCTCCAGGATCAGAGCCATATGGGGGACGAGCTCTCCTGGGATGTTCATGTTCAAGGACAGTGCCATTTCCCCCATTATCCCCGTTGCAGATGAGGAAACAGCACAGAGACGTTCAGGCCCTCGAAAGGCAGGACAGGGAGTGGGGACGCTGAGCCCCACGACCTGTGTTTAAGTGCCAGCCTGGCCATTTCCCAGACGTGAGATATTGGGACAGCCGTGTCACTGGGGATAACGATGTCAGCGGCGGCGTGGGGGTGGCTGAGAGGACTAAGTGGGGTGACTCACGTGGTGCAGAGCAGGGACACACTCTGTGCGGGCTGTTATTATTATTATTTTTTTTTCCAGTGTCACTGGCCCTCATATGTGTGATCCGAACCAGGGCCCTCTGGTGTCCCAGGCCAGCTCTTAACCAACGCACCACTCGGCCGGCCCAAAATTATTTCTTTTTTTTTTAAATTTTTTTAGCTGAGCCATCCTGCTACCTGTTGGCAGCTCAGCGGCAACTCAGCTCGGGCCGGGCATCGAACCACTGTTGCTCAGAGCTCAAACTCTTGCACAAGTTCTTAACCAACTGGGCCATTCGGCCGGCCCTTTGTGCGGGCTGTTTTATTGATGCTATTTCTTCATAGCCCTACTAATCAGTGGCCCAGCAGAGCATATGGCTTTGGGCTGGTGCCTCATTCTGTCAGGACGCTTCGGGGCCAGTGACAGAAGCCAGGTCAGCCTGCAGAAGTCGGCAGGGTGGGGGGCCCCAGGCCTCAGTTTTCTCCTCCTCTGCTCGCCTCATCGCAGGCCCCGGGCTCTGAGGAGCAGGAGTCTCACCTGGTGCGGCTTCCCCAGCCTGGAGTGGCCCTTCCCTGACATTTCCCTGTGGCCAGAGGGGGTGGAAAGTGATGGCTAGGCTTGGGGTCCACCGCAGAAGGAGACCACATGGGGCACAGGTTCCACAAAGCACAGTGAGAAATGCTGCTCCCAGAAGGGAGAATGACAGGTGTCCCTTGTGTGACAAGCCTCCTCTTGCTCCCTGTCCCACTGGCTGCAGTGGACGGGGAAATGTGGCTGCTTGGAGGGGCGGCGGGCACAGTGCCTACCTGGGCCCCGGGAGCACTGGGCACCTTCAGAGGTGGGAGGACAGGACTGTGTGAAGACGAGCCCGTGATGCTGGCCAGGGTGTGGCACAGGGGCAGGCAGGCGTGGTAGCGGGCCAGCATGGGGGAGAGCACCACTCTGGAGGCAGATGATGGGTTACGGGGAGTATGCCTGGGGGGCAGGCTGTGGGAGTCTTATCTGCTTGTACTGCTCCACCTGGCAGGTTTCTGTCTACCTGAGGCAGGTAAGGCGGCTGAGGTCCCCACAGTCCCACCCCAAATCAGACTGTGGCTCTCCAATTATTCCCTTCATTCCTGTCATCGGGAAGAGCCCAAGCTTTGCTCTTGCTGGGCGCTCCGCCTGGGGTGCCCTCACCACTCAGCACAGCTCTGGGGCAAAGCCCGCCCGCCCATCCCCCTGCCTTCCCCAGGCAGGACAGTTCCAGCCACCTCTGGGCCCTACAGCCCACAGCGCAGTTCCTGTCTGCTCCCAGCTCTTTCAGTTTAGAGGAGACTTGCCTGGTGCCAATCCTTTTGAAAGCCTTGGCTCCTGGCCTCTCCATGCCCCACGCTTTGAGGCAGGTACAATCCTTGGTGCCCCTTTACTCTGAAGGAAAAGCCAGCAGGGCCGTGAGTGGTGGCGCCCAGATACACAACTCTGGTCCTTGGTCTCAGAGCCACAGGACAAGGCCTGCTCACCTGTGTGTCCCCATGCTCGCTCTACTCCGGCTGGGAGAGAGGCCCCAGCACATAGTGGGTGCGTTACATCATGTGAGCAGACCTGGGGGTGAGCTCAGGCAGGCTGGGTGGGTGAGCTGGGCACACAGCTGTCTGTGTGGGCTCTGTCCTCTGCAGCCAGCCGGTCCCTGGCCTGGGCCCATTAAGGGTGGGTGGTGAGCCTCGGTGCCAGCCCAGCCTCGTGATAGGGGCAGGGCTCGTGCCCAGAGCGTGACTGTCCTGAATCGGAATCTCAAGCCTGTTTCTGGAGCCCTGCTCCTGTTCCTCCCTTGGTCACTCTCGGTTCCTCTGAGGAGCCCTGGGAGGAAGCCCGTGGTGGGCAAATGGGCAGGTGCCCACAGCAGCCTCAGCCAGCGGAAGTGGCCAGATGGCTCCAGGCCCGCAGGCAGGAGCTGTGTGGACAGTTTCTCTGGCCCAGGAAGGACGAATGTGTCCTCCCACCTCTTCTTCCTGAGCCTGACGGGTGTGGGTGGGCAGGGCAATAGTTTGGGGTCTCCAGGCCTCAGGGGACGAGGCCAGGGATGGTTCTGGTCTGCAGGCAGGGACAGCCCCCGAGGCCATGGTCCCTGCTCCTTTCTCCCCACTTGGCAGTCCTACCCCAAGATGCCCCATGGAGCTTTGGGAAGGGGACCACATTTCTTTCCCAGGCCACCTGTGGTGCTCTGACCAGTGTCCACGGTCGGGACAGGTGGGTGGTTCCTGGGGCCAGCCATTAGCCCCTCTGGCTCTTGGCCAGGTATGGGCCAAACCTTGCCCTTCTGCAGGCTTCCCTGGTGAGGGGTCCAGCCCTAGCACAGCCTGCAGCAGCTGCCCAAGCGTGGACAAGCTCCCAGGAGGGCTGGGTTAGCGTAGGAGGGGACATTCAAGGCCACAGCTGCTTCCTGGGAGTGGCAGCCTTTGCTTGGCCAGGCCTGGGGTTGGGAGATGGTGGGCAGGAAGCCCTGCCTTTTTAGGGCAAAAAGGCTCATTGGAGGGGGGCTCACAGGTGAGAGGGGCCCCTGAAGGACAATAACAAGGGTGCTTTCTTGCACACATGTGTCAGTCTGGGGCCAGCTGGAAAAGGGGGCATTTATGTAACAATGAGGGGATCAATTCACATGTGCCAAGCACCTAAGTGTGCCAGGTGCCTGGGGGCACTGTGGGGGCAGTGGAGCTGAATGGTTAGGAGCACAGACTTGGAGTCTTATGGACCTGGGATCAAGTCGCAGCCTCATTGCTCACTAGCTGCATGATCTTGGGCAGGTTGCTCAACCTTCTAAGACTCAGTTTCCTCATCTGTGAAGTGGTACAGTGATTCTACCTCCGTTTCACCGTGGTTTAGAACAGTGCTATCCAATAGATAGGTTCATTTATTTGTCAAAATAGATGGCGTCAAATAATCTGTAGGAGCCACGTTAAAAAACAAAAAAAGCTAGTGAAATTAATTTTCATAAAGTAGTTTATTTAACCCAATGTATAATTCCAAACATTACCATTTTACCATGTAATCCATGGAAAGAGTCATCAATGAGATTTTACATTCTGTTCTTTTTTTTCTTTCTTTTGCACTAAGTCTTGAAAGTCAGTGTGTCCACAGCCCTCTCCATTTGGACTGGCCTCACTGCACGTGCTCAGTAGCTACAGAGGCCAGTGGCTGCCACTTGGGATTGGATGATGTTGCAGAGGGTCAGGCTGTGAAATGAGACCAGGTATGGAGAGCCCATGTAGGGCCAGCGCTATGGCGTCGGGCAGTGTTCCCGGAGCAACCTGGTGGGAAGATAAGTCAAAAGTAATAGGTCAATTCAAAGGTCCATCCCAGGACAGTGGGGTCAAGGGCAGGGGTGAGGTGGGGGTGGAGAGTCCTCTGGATACGTTGCGATAGACGGGCCTTCCAGAGTTTGCTGCATTTGACTTGGGCCTTGGAGAGCGGGCAGGATGTCAGTGGATGGCACTATGGAGGCCGTGGCAGGCATCAGGGGGACAGAACCAGGAAGGGCTAGTTGATGTCAGAAGTTGAGTTTCCTCCCGAGGGAGGCGGTGAGTAACTGGGTAAGGGGGCTGGTGTGAGGCGATAGGGAGTGGTGGGGACTGTGGAGGGTGGAAGGGTGTGTGCCATTCTAAGGCAGACACAACTCAGAAACTAGAGCCATCAGGAATATGGGTCCAGAGCTGCCAGTCTCTTCTGGTTTGTTCAGAGAAGCCAGAAATCTGGATTTTTATGTGAAATCTGACTTTTCAAAGTTGGCAACTGATTCAAATTCTTTTGAAGCACTATGCTCAGCCAAACTAAACATGTCTGCAGGCCGGCTTCTGCCCAGGCGCCCTGTTGGCCAGTTGTGGTAGAGATCATATTGAGGGAGAAAGGCAAAAGCATCCTGTGACTAAGATACAGGGTGTGTGGAGGGAGGGCTGGCGTGGCGCTTGTCTGCCCGGTTGGGGGGCCCTGGCGTTCCCCAGGACGGTGGGAGCTGGAGGACCTGGGAGGGCAGCTGCACTGTTTCAGACCCAGGGAGACAGCCTGTGGCACCCCAGGGGTGGTGGCAAGTTCAGGGTTGCAGGTCTGCCTGGGGTCTGGCCAAGGGCGAGCAGCCAGACATTGGCTTAAGTTGACTCAAGCCAGAGCGGGTGTTACAGGAGGTGGGGACCCAGGGCAGAGCAAGGGCAGACACAGAGCCACCTCCTCCCCTCCCTCTTTGCTCTAGGGCCCTCTTCATTGACCTGCTGCTTCTATGGGTTCTCTCGTTCTTATTCCCCAACCATCGCGGGGCTATGTACCCACTCACACTGACTTTCCATGATCTCAGGGCTCCAGAGACCAGTAGGAGTTGCCTGTCTCAATTCAAGTTCTGAAGAGAGCGAATCTAATGGGCCACCTCTGATCCAATCAACTATGTCATAGGGTATGCCATCACCTGGTACAACACGTCCCCTTAAACATTCTTTCTGCAGGGCTGTAAATGGGCAGCTTGCCTAGAGGGGACTCGTGGCAAGCCTGTGGTGGGAAAAACTTGTCCCTGTGCCTGAGCCCTTCCCAGTCTCCAGAGGCCCCTCCCCGGGCACTGAGAGCTGCCAGGGTCTTCACCGATTTTCCTGTGTTTGGAGTATCTGGGAAGCACACCTATGGGACCCAGAAGGTTGCTGCTCTAGCACAGAGTGCACAGAAAGCTAGATCCCAAGGGAGCTGGGACCAAGAGGTCTGGAGAGGGGGTCTAGAAAGCAGACTGAGCACCTTGAGGGAGCTGAAGCCGAGGGTTATAGGGCAGAGAGGTCAGCAGGTAGAACCCCAGTGCCTGGAAGAACTCGAGAACCCACATACCAACAGCCCCATGGTGGCTGTGCGGTAGTCTGGCCCTGCAGCAGCTGTGGCCTGCAGCAGTCATGGCGGGACCTAGAGAGTAGGGAGGCATTTCCAGAACCCCCTGCTGGAGGAAGTAGCCCAGAGCCCACAGTATGTAGAGCCAGAACCCAGAAGTCTTGGGGCATTAGAACCCGACTCTAGACTAGAGCTGAGAGAACCTAGAGACCTAGAGACAACAACATCAGACCTCATCTGGTTGAGTTTGAGAAGCCTCCGGCAGGGTGCATGGAAACTCCCCCAAAGCTGGCTGAGGGCCTCAGGTCCCCGTGGAAACCCAGATGGCGGAGGGGGCTGCTGGGGTCATGGTGGAGAGCCCTGCCTCATACCCCACCTTTAGTCAGCTGCCTCCTGGCAGGCAGGGCTGGGGCTGACCCCAGGGACCCTGTAGGGTCCCCATCAGGCCATCTCCTGCCTCAGCTGTCCCTGCCTCCAGGCTAGAGGCAGGACAGGCACCTTTGGACAGCGAGGAAGCAGAGATTCCGAGATGGAACTCAGAACTGTACTATTCTGTGACCTAACTGAGGCAGGGCCGGCCTGAGAGTCCTCAGAATGACCTTCTCAGAAACTCCCAGGTTCATACTGCACGAAGAGGAGACTGAGGGACACTGTGCCATTGCTCCCTGTCAGCCTGGAAGCCCCAGGACACCTCAGGAGCCCTCTGTGCTGATGCTCCCAGACTCAGCTCTGTCCCCAAGAGCCCCTCCCCACTGCGCTGCAGATAAGCTACCCTCCCAAGGGCCGCCCTGCTTGCCAGGCCCCACAGTGAGCTCCCCAAGGCTTGTCAGAGGCACTGATGTGTCCCCAGTGCCTAGCCCCAGGCTTGATACATGGTGGGCCCTCAGGGGACCCTGGGTGTGTGTTTGCTGAGGGAATCCAGAGAGCGCAGAAGGCCTAGGGCTCACCACAGTTCCCTCTGCCAAGACTCCTTGAGGGCAGGGACTGGGTTCTGGTCATCTGTGACACCCCAGAGCCAGCCTATGTAAGGGATCAGTGCTGGAAAGCAGGCATTCTACTCTGGCTGAGAGGCCCATGGGGAAGGGGCGTGAGCCTTTGGGAGAGGGACCCAGGCCCCACTGCACACTGCATCTTCCATACCTGGGTCTCATAGACAGAGCATCTCCGGCACCAACCGTCAGGTGAAATGGGGTCTTGATGGGCTCAGGAGAACTCTGCCCCTTGGGGGAGTGTGGTCCTCTCTCCGAGGTTCTGTTTCTGTCATGCAAAGTATCTTGGAACCATTAAAATGCTGTCAAAGTACGTTGTGATGTCACTGAGGAGAATTACGAGACCAGGCAGAACTAATCAATGCGGTTAGAAATCAGGACAGCGGACCTTTGTGGGGAGTGGCTGGCAGCCCCCAAGAGGGGCACTTCTGCAGGGGGGCTGGGCTGGCGATGCCCTCTTCTCCACCTGAGTGCTGGCTGTGTTGTGAAAATACGTTTTATGAGGTATGCACTCACCATAGCTGCACTTTTCTGTACTTATTTACACCTGCATAAAGTTTTACAAATGCTAACCAACACAGAGGTGTTCAAACAACAGCAGCCACCAAGCCCACTCCCATTAATGGAGCCCTTACCCCCACCCGTGACAGCATTTCTAAATGGGGGGGGGGTGGAGGGGGCATCTGCTGAGGGTGGGAGACGAAGGGCGCAGGGCGCCGTCCTGACCTGCATTTCCACTTAGACGGCACCATCTGGACCAGGAGAAATAGCAAAGGAGTCTAAAATGCCTTTACTCCCGCTTTCCAGGAGGTTGAGAAAATGTCTCCTACCACATCAAACACAGAGGTGTTTGTCTCCGTGTAAGGTGGCTGGGAGGCCGAGGGAGTTGGGAGCGCAGGGAGAGCCTTTGGTCACGCCCGCGACATGTTGGGGGAGGCGTCGAGGTAGGGGGTGTCGAGCGCGCCCAGCAGACGCCCGGCGGGGGGCGGGGCGGGGCGCCGGCCGCGAAGTCCGGCCCCCCGCAGGCGGGGCCGCGGGTCCCGCTCCTCCCGCCGCCCACCTGCCCCGCTAGTTGATGTCAGAAGTTGAGTTTCCTCCCGAGGGAGGCGGTGAGTAACTGGGTAAGGGGGCTGGTGTGAGGCGATAGGGAGTGGTGGGGACTGTGGAGGGTGG